CATTCAGCTATGTGGCTGTGACATGCAAGCAAGAGAGAAAAGTGAGCATAAGCATTAACGCTTTCACAGTTTTATTGTTGGCAACTTGTTCAGTTTGTCTGGAGAAGCTGTTGCATTATGGTTAAAAGATTTTATTCGAGGATAAAAATGTTGCTTTCTGGTTTCTTGAGAAGAAAGCACAGATTTTTGAAAGCCCTTCTTTCTGAAAGCTACTTCTCTGCAAGGATATCCTGCAGCTTAAATCCCTGTGAGCAATTCAGATATAGCAAGTGCCCCAGCTCCATAGGCTACACAGTCCTATTCCTCCTTCCTTTTTTGGCTAATGAATCTGGATTTCTTTTCTGGATGATAAAAGAGACATACAGACTCAGAGTGTCTCCCTTCTCAACCTGAATTCTCATGGGAAGCGAGTCTCCAGGGGAGGAATGGTGCCATCACAAAGATGCTGATGCACAGAGGGGGCTTAACAAGGATCTCCTAAGCTCTGAAAATGGAAATTTCTCTCTGAATTAGTTTGCAGTTTCTCCATGCTCCAGAAACATGGTTGGAAAATGGAGCTGGCAGAAACTCCCAGCCTCACAGAAGTGCGGTGGGCTCCAGCATGTTAAATAAAGAGGGTCAGCCCAAGACTGCTATAGCACACTGCATACCAAAAAGGGTGCTCAACTACTGATAAGAACAGGGTCTGGAGGCTATTGCACTGACCCTGTAAAATACAGAGTATGTTGATGGCACCACCAAACATTATTTTTTGTGCTTGGCTGAGCTAATATTCAGTTTAAGGGTTTATTTATTTGAAATTCATAGAAGAACTCATTATAAAGGAGTAGCAAAGCTCCCCCTTTTGCAGAAACTATCTCCCCTTTTCCACAACACTGTATTAATTCGTATATCCACATATATATGGATGGAAAGATATATGTATATTCTCTGACTGCAGTTATTTTTAGACTAGAATAAATTGTGGCTAACAATAGAATTTTGAAATAAATTAAAATTCATTTTTAGATAAGGTAGTTTCAGTCTAAAACAATATCTTAACATAGTATCTATAACATAAAAAGACCTCCTCCTCCATCAATGTAAAGGTATAATTACATTATAGATTAAGTGTTCACAAACTGCACATTTTAGGAACTAGCTGTTAACAGAAATAGGTCCCTCATACTTACATCACTCCAGAAATAAAATAACTGTGGTAAATGGGCTTATTGTAACAGTAAAGCTGCAGCAGAGAAATCATTTTTCATTCAATTCGGAGGCTTTGTACTGTTTATTTTATTACCAACTGCCGCCAAACAGATCCACAGTAAACAGTTACTGAAATTCTGTTCATCTAACGATAGAGGCAGACAGATCTTGGAAGAACCTGTTCTGTCTTGGTGTTTATTTGAAATAGTGATCAGCTTCATCAGAACTGGTCCACTACACTTTTACCTCACTGAACAAATTCTTAAAAGCTGTTGGTTCTTGCAGGTTGAATTTTCAGTGAAAGTCATCAGCCAAGACCAAGTACTGGCTTCCTCAACTGAACTGGCTCAACTACATCATGTTGATAGATGCTGACTTTCATAAGGTGCCCTTTTTTTTAAAAAAAAAAAAAAAAAATTTACAAAGCTGTTAACACTTCCAGTTCCTATAGACTTGGAAAGTATTCTGAAAAGAGTGGATTTTGTAGATCACCTCTTATTAGAGCAAGATGGCCTTTTCACTCTCAAAAAAGTGGGCTTTAAAGTGCCTCTTTTTCTCCATTATCCACCACTAGTTCAATGAGGCATTTAATTGTAACTTAGACAAACACACGTCCTGCATTCAACAGAGCACACAGAAGGCCCAGGAGCACCATGTGGACACCTTGCCTATAAAAGTGCCTAATTTCTAGAAACTCAGTCAAATGAGGAAATTCTGTCTTTAGAGTCTACACCACACCAGATTGTCTCTCATGTCAGGTTTACACATTTTAATAACTTAGAAATTCACATAAACTATTCATTTTGGAATAATATTTTTGCCCTGACGTCATCATCCACTAACCATTATCCTAATTCTCTAAAGACTTCATAAAATGCATTTCTAAAATCCTCATCCAGGTTTAAGGTGGATATTTGCTACCTCCACTGCTTGCTGGGCTCTTCTGCCTAGGACCAGAGGGGCAGTAGCTGTAGTTCAGCCATGTTTGTAGCAAGGGAAAATGAATTAATGTGTAGTAGAGTAAGTCATCTTGCCAGAGGACTAATTGGCATCAGCAAATTGAACACTATGGGCAATCTGGAATAAACAATTGCAATACATTACTTCTATTAGGTACTTTTCCTATGTGAACAAAATTGCCAGAAATGAGCACAACCCCTGCAGCTTTCAGATCCTTTATTAGGTAACCAAACATGCTATTTTACACAGTGTACTTTAAGTGCACTCTGGCAGCATACAAAAATAAACCAAATCCATTCAATTCGGGTACAAATATCTTAGGGTGAAATAAATCTGTTAGACTTTGCAGGATCAACCCAGATACTGCAGACACAGGATTAACCCAAATATTATTTTCAAAGGCTTCTCCACAGCTGATCTTAATGAACACTAATGTAAAGTCTTTAAACTCTACTATGACATTAACACCCTCATAGCATTTTAATACAGGGGCATTCCAGGCAACTCTATTCTTTTTGACCTGGATTTATATCTTGCTCTGTATTGGCTGCAACACTTACAATTCAGAAAACGAGCCATGCTTTACCTAACATTTCTGAAGGAAAATGGATGTCCTTATTTTAGGCAGAGATAGGTTGGAGGCAACATTACCAGAAGACATGAAGCTGTTGCCAGCAGAAATTCAGACTGAGGCAAGGGAGACCCTGGGGAGTTGGGGAGGACAAACAGCTTCTCAAATGCTTGGCAGCCAACACCATTTTGGCCAGCTCCCTGCTGTTTCCAATAAGCAACCACTGCACTGAACAAAGTACAACAAGAGAATGCAGTTTTATTTGATAAGCCTCCACGAAGAATGGGAAATAACCCTGGCCAGTGCCTCTTTCTCTCCCCTTTTTAAAAAAAGGTTTGGGGTAGCCACCCTCCCTCTATTTGCCTCAAACAGTTAGAGATGAATCCTGAAATCCCAGTGATGATGCAGGCAGATTTTTGAGCAGGCCACCTCACTGTTGGCCACACACTTATACTCAGATGACAAGTGAAGACACTGAATGGAGGGGTTGAGGACCTCCTACCATATCTCAGTGCTCATCTTCACATCCAGGATTACAGACTTTAAATGGTAGATCAGGGCACCGACTTTTAAAACAATAGGTTCCTCAGCTCAGAAATATTGTTTTAAAAGTCTGTGCCCTGATCTACCATTTATTTCCTGTGTGATTATCACTTTTGCTTTAGGCTGTGAGCTAACTAATATAGAGATATAGATAATTTTCACAAGTATTAGTCAAGAAATCCGTGCAGACAGCCTGAAATGTGGCAAGTGGTAATCATCACAGCAGGACTGGAGCCAGCTCCAGCTGACCCTCCCGTACCACTATGAAGGGTTAGCTTTTCCCTGAGGAGGATGATAAAATGCAGTTTAGCAGAAGCTATATCACAAGAAATCAGATGAAGTAGAGCAGTTGCTGGAACTTGCTTCCCAAAGGGTTCTGCTTAAAGGATTTCATGAAAAGCATAATTCAGTTAGCTTGCAAACAGTTAATATGATAAAGAAAGCGCTCTGCAGCAAAAAAAAAAAAGAAAGCATCATGAAGGCTCTGGAAAGGCTGCCCTGCTGCATCAGCCTATGCTGGTAAGAAGAAATTCTCCCTTGTCTGTGGCCCAGGGCCACCTGAATGAAATGGCAACTCCTGTTACCCTACAGAAATTCAGTCACATTTTTGATGACACCAGAGACAATATGTGCCATCTGTAGATTTATAGTGAACCTGACGAAGCACTTGTGTGGGCTGCATTCAATTACTTGAATTTAATTGCGTTACATTTGCCAGAAAATTAGGCATAGTTTATGGAACATGAGTATTTTGGAGATGCAGAGGAAGGATCCCGCCTGTGGCATAGCTGGAAGCCTGATCTTCCAGTGCAGGCGTGGGCAGAAGAGACATTCAGCACAGCACATCCCCATGCAGGTGCTCATACAATTAATGTGCAAGCAACATTTTTTTTTTTTTTTTAAATCACAACCCAGCAGACTTGCTGCAAGGAAAAGCTTCCAGTTCTGGTCATCTTTCCAAGATATTTTAATTACTGAATTCCTTAGGCTCCCCTACAGAACAAATCTAATGAGGTTTGACCACAAATGCACACTGATTACAAGAAAGATCACACATACAATTCTGCTCTTCTCTTTGCTGCACATAAATGTAAAGGCAAGCTGCTACTAGCAGGAAGGTCAGATGATAGAAATAACCAGGACGGCTTTCAGTTGGTGTTATCTGCAGCTGTCATGGAGTCCAATGGGAATGGGGATGGCTTGGGCACTCTGTTATAAAGGTGCCTCTACATGTAGACATACCCATATGCATCAGCACCCTCCCTGCATGTGCATGCACACATATTCTCCCATGTACTCCTAACAACTTCATCCTACAATCAATGATCTAAACACACACACATGCATACTGTAACACACACATAGACACAAGGTTCCAGCACAGTCTAACACAGATCTGCAGGCAGAAAGTGCTTGCCGAAGCCATACGGTGCATACCCAACCTGCAGTGGCTGGTGTCTTGTCATTATGTATAATAAATAGCAGCACTCTGTCATAGCAGCACGGCTGTGCTGCCGGAGCTCACACCCTACCAGCCCCATCTCCGCAGTGCTGTTCTGGGCATGAAACACACAGATTGACATGCAGGCAGTACTGATCACTGCAAGAGACAGGCTCCAGCAGCGAAAGCTGCTTCATGTCGGAGTGGGCTCTTCCCAGCTTTCCGACATGTGATCTGCATCTCTAATAATGAACAAATTCAGTCAATCCATCCCTTCTGGCATCGATCCCTTACCTTGAAATGCTGCAGCTGAAGTATCTGGTCCTCAAGCTGTTGTCTCTTGCCTTCTATTTCCGTCTGCCTTTTCCTTTTCTCCTTGGAAAAATAATTTGAGGGAGAGAGGGAGGGAGAGAGAAAGAGAGATTGTCAGAGAAATGGAGGCTTTAAGGGTAGCAGATTCATAAGAACATGCAGACAGCCACACACATCTGTGCAGTTGCCACCAGTCCCATTTCACCTGTGCTCTGCTTGCTGGCTCACAGGAGCTGTCTGCTGGGAGGGTGCCAGCTCCGATCCACTGATTGCTCACCAACAGGAGAAATTCTCCTCACTGGCTGCCGGCAGACAGAACAGCAACAGCGTGCACAGTCCCAGAGGAGGAGAGAAAAAATTGCAGGTTGGAGGGAAGTTAAAGGGACATGGATGCACTTTTTCGTTCTATAGTCTGGACCAGGAATATGCAAGGTCAACAGAGGACATCAGGGCAGAAGGCAGATGGTGAAGCTACCAGACTGTACTAGGCTTATCTGCAGTGCAAATAGGACAGATAGCCCCATCCAAAGCACCCACATGCGCTAGCAGCTGGCTTGCGCTAGCTCCCAGAGGCTGGGCTGACTGAGCAGCTTGAAGGACACCATTACCGTGTCCACAGCCTATGATTTTTTAAGGTCACCTCCAGAAACATGCCTGTGCCAGGCAGCAGGCTCTCCCAGCTGCTTCAGGAGATCTAGCTGTCTTTCTCTTCCTCCACCCCTCCTCCTTTCAAAACCTGCAGGGGTTGCCTGTTCTAAGTCTTTCATGACGCATGGGGACCATTTCTCTTCACCCACCCCCAGCTCAGATCAGATTAATGCTCCCAGAGGTGTAAACAGAATCGCAGAATCACAGAATACCTCGAGTTGCAAGGGATCCAGAAGGACTATGAGTCCAAGCCCCGGCTTCACATGGCACCTCACAAACCCAAACCACAAGCTGTGGCAGTTCCCGTGCCGCTGCCCTGGGGAGCTGTGCCATGCCCACCGCCTTCTGGGGCACAGTCTTTCCCTGGCCCCTGACCATCCCCTGACACAGCTCCATACCGTGTCCTCAGGCCCTGTCACCGTCACCCGAGAGCACGGCTCCTGTGAGGAGCTGCAGGCCACCATGAGGCCTCCCCTCAGCAGCGACCTCCCGTCGGCTCCTCCGCTCTGGGCCGAACCAAGGGTTTGTTCATCTGCAACTTGTATATCTTGTCCTGCAGGCTCTTCACTGTCTTTTTAGCCCTTCTTTGGACATTCTCTAATAGCTTCATACCAATTTTAAATCGTGGCACTCCAACCTGCTTGTAGCACTGAGCGCAGTGGGACAGCCCCTCCCTTGCCCAGTGGTGGTGCTGGGCCTGATGGATACAGCTGGTGCTTTTGCCTTCAGGGCATCTACCCCAGCTTTTATTGGAACAACACTCTTTTTTGTCCTTTGGCTGTTGAAAACTTGTTTTTATTATTTTAATGCTTCAGTAGCTGTAAGATTGGGCTTGAGGACATTTGAGGATTCCTCGAGTCCCCAGAGTAATTCTTCTGTTCCACTTCTGGGTGTCCTACTGGGAATTCTCCACTTTCTAGGGATTTCAAGCCTTTATTTCTCATCCTCAAGGGACATATGATATCACTTATACACAAATGATTTATGTTTATATTGGCCCTCAAACCAAGGCATTTTGAGTGAAAACCCTACATTTAAAAGGAAGATCAGGAAACTTTTAATAACAGGTTATCTCAAAACATGGAGTCAACAGCCTGGACAACTCTTATTGAAGACTAAGACATGAGGTGATGAGAGGGCTTTATCAATGAACTCCGAAGAGGCAAAGTGGTCAAATGATGCATGTGACAAATGGTTCTGTAATACCCTTGCATGGTCTTACATGCTGATTTTATGTATAGAGATACACACTCGTATAATTGTCTGAAGAGTTCAATAATACTACTGCTGAACAAAAATATTCTGCTGAAGTTATTTTGGAACAGGAAAACTGGCTTTTTGGACAACTGGAATGTGACAAATTGTGCCTGTCGTCAGCTGACAGCTTGAAATCTCACTGCTTTGTTCTTGCAGAAGACAATTTGCATTGTGCAAGCATAGACATTCAAAATTTATGTATGCACCTTTAAATCCACTCTTTATACAAAATTGATAGCATAAGGAACACTCCTAAAATCTCCTTCTTCCCTCTGCACTTTTGAATGGAGCAGGATATTGCATGGCTCTGGGGTTAAAAAACTTCAACATACTTCAGAGCTTTCTCTTTTTTTGTTTGTTTGTTTCCTTTTTTTTTTTTCTTTTTTTTTTTTCTTTCTCTTTCTTTTAGTCTACAGTATTAACAGCGTACTTCAGAGAGCAAAAGCCTAGGAGTCATTTCTCTGCTATTTCCTCAAGTAAGTGGTTAGCCATAGGTTGGAACAAAGTGGTCATAAAAGCTGTTCCAGTTAATGGCTTAATATTCTCAGAATAAGGGAAATTCTTTCCTGTTTGTGTTGAGCTGAACACATTATATGTGCCATAGGGCAGCATAAGGCACTTGTATCTTCACAGTTAACTGACCTACATTTCTGCGTGATTATTGAAACATGTACATATATACATTTTCTACCCTTTAAAAAAGCTTTCTTGCTAAAACACATGACAGAAATCAGCACTGTACCTTCTCTGGCTGGCTGTGTCATGTCTTATAATGGAAGTGACAAGACAGCCTTATAAAACATAAATGGAAACTTATTTTCTTTGGGAGAAAGGGAAAGCACTTAGAGTATTTTCCCTGTAGGCAACAGCACAGCAGGCATTAAAATGCTTGAACTACTTACTAACTAGTGGGCTTCTGTGGAGCTAAACTGGAATATTGCTCACAATACCATTTCACTGGCTCTCAGTCTAATCACATACATATACCCATTCTCTTTTTGCACCATAGCTGAATGTAAGGAGCATGATGGCAGAGGTAGTTTTTTTTCTTCTGAAGGTTGCATGATTTGCAGCACGTGTAATAAGCTGTCAGGACTTTTCACCTTCAGGTCACTCAGTCACTTTATTGGTGGGTTTCTCCCATACTGAGATCCGTGATTGTACATGTTGCTGGTATGTACAGACATGTTATGAAAAGATGTGGTAAAAGACTGGGCAAGCTAACAAAGGCCTCACAAAAACCAGCATCGGGGATTTTAGATATTCATTAGATGGAACAAATTCTCATTCAGGATCTAACTGAAAGCACGAAGGTGCTCAGTACATGCTTAAACTGAGCATTGTGTAAAGTAGTTTTCTGTATTTGAGCCTGTATATGTTCCTCCCTCCTTATTCTGCTCATCTAATTCTAGATATTTTTTTTTTCCAATCATTCCTAGTAAGTTTATGATTTACTATGGATCCTAGAACTAGGAAAGTATTAAAACACAGATTCACACCTAACAGCTCTGTTTCAATACATACCTCTCTGACAACACAGTGAATACTACACCATTGCTTCAGATATCTGTTGGTGTAAATCACCCCCAAGAAATAAATCAGAGGACCCTGCCAGCTTCAGCCATTCTATCCTTTTGTGATGAAATTGAGATGTGAAACTTCTCACTGTGACCAAAGCGTTACCTGCACCTACAAGGACCAAAGTGACATTTCAATCTGCTCTTGCACAGGTTTCCATGATCATTTTGCCAGCCCATGGCCTCCAACCTGAGAAATTTTCTCAGAAGCAGCTTCAGTTTTGGAAAAAAATTTGCCTGAAAACCCAAGTGAAGCTTGCAAGGGAAGGGAAAGACGGCTAAGTGTGATGTGGGGCAGAGGAAGACACCAACCTAAATTGCAAGTGAGTAATAGGATGTGATGTTGTGCAGTTCCTGCACATTTTTAGGATGCTGCTGAAAGCTGTAGGTTGGGGTGCCAATCATTACACAGACCCAGATTCTTGGAGTTATTCTGTGGACAAAAAGATGCTTCTTTTTTTTCAGAAAGTGATTATAAAAACGAGGCTTGTAGGAGGAGGTGAAAACGGGCATGGAAGCCAGTTTTTTCTGTTTCACTCTTACAGTAGGCTTATTACAAAATATTTGTATCTCTCTGAGGTGTTCTGCTTTTGCTCAGGGACGTGATTTACTGCTCAGGAACATTTTTTAGAGGGTGGTTGTTAGTTAGGGTAGTATGGTTAGGTCATGGTTGGACTCAATGATCTTAAAGGTCTTTTCCAACCTGAGTGATTCTATGATTCTATGATTCTATACAAGTGCTCTTCATGGATAGTTACCTTTACAGAATGGAGGAGTACAGAGTACAGCCAGCACACTTTGAATAACCCAGATATTTGCAAGACTCTAACTTTACATCCCTCACTTCACCAAAAATACCAGGAACATGTGAAAGTGAAAGTACATGACTTTTTTATTCACAGACCCAAATGATGGGAACTGAGCACAGATCAAAGAACAAGTTGACTCACATCTTGATATCTACTTTGTGAAAACTGAGATTTGTATTCAGGAGTTCACTTTTGATGACGAAAGCAGAACATGCAAGCCATGGGTTTATTTCCCTTTAGGAGACTCCTATTTTTGAAAGAAAGCGATTGCTGCACAGCACTAAATGTGTCCAGTGCCACTTCTGTATTACAGAGAACAAGAACAGCCGATAATTTATAAATAAAGGGTAGAACAGAGAGAGAGAGAGGATGAAATGGAGATCTATAAGAGCATGAATGGATTGGAAAAAGCAAATGGGCATCTCACATACTGTAAGATAGAAGGGGGCTTCAATGAAATCAAATGAAGCAGATTCAGAGCCAAGGCATGAGCCTGCCTTGAAAATCCCCAAGGGTGCTGTGGGTGCTGGAAGATGCTAGGAGCTTAAAGAAAACCTGGTCATGGCCAGAAAAAAGGGATACTGTAAAGGATGCCTCAAAATTGAGTTAGATTGGGTTCATGAACCTCCTGGATCAGACTTGTTTTTGACGATGATGGCACTTTGGAAATAGTCATACTGACTGTCCTTCTCTCATTCTTGTGCTAACACCACCTATTTTATGGTTTTGTAAGAGGTGGGATGTGGGAGTTTTTGTCTGAGTCGAGACAGCT